TTATAATATGTTTATAATAATATTTATAATAACATAAATATGTAATGAAAAATATATTATTTTCTATATATACTCTTTCCATCTCTATAATTTATTAATATGAGTTTCAATTATTTAGACTGATTTTATAAATTTGTCATTTAATCCAAACTAATTGTAAATCACAAATTATTAAGTAAATTAGTCCTGATTAATCTGTTTTTAAACATTTTGACTCAATAAACATAGTGCCTGATAAGCTTCAACATTCTTAGTACCAATGAAGGAATGCACACTTACATATTTACATATTAAATTTATTTTGTTAAAATACTCTTAATTTAAGGACTTAATTGTTTGTTTTTATACTACATGTAAAACATATGTCAACAATGTTTTTATTTCTCATTTACTTCATTTTCGAAATTTTCTATCGTAATTTTCTCGTCGTTCGATTTGCTGACTCAAGGGTTGTTGCGGTATTTTTTGGGCTGCTTCACGTGCGTCTGCTTCCTGAAATACAATATTGATTTTAGTATCACTGTCAATATTCTATGCATGTAAAAAACTATTTTTTATATTAATATTTTCAATATCAATAATAATATTTTAATCTTTTAGCTTTGTCGGTATCAATATTTTATTATTACAATAATTTAATCGTTTACTAAGTAATTTTGATGTAAAAATATTTTTAATATTAAATTTATTGTTAATATCTTTTATGTTAATTTAATTTTTTAATATCGGAATAATGGAATATTAATACTTGGGGTATAAATATTGATGTACATAACAATGTAATCACATTAATATTCTTAATACGTATTAAATAAATCATAAATCGATGAAAAATTTAATATTTTCGTAATATGACAATGTTACATAACCTCTATATTTCGAAAAAAAATTCTTGCGTACAAAATAACCGTAATTTGAGTGACAAATTAACTTTTCCTTTCCCCTTGGCAGATTAAAGCACCTTTAAACTGGTCTCCGTACAATAAAGTTAATCACGTGCACACTGTTGCACATTTGTTGCACAATTTTAATTTTACTCTTTCATCGATTTCGCAAATTCCACGAAATTTCAAAGTCACTCTAATAATTAATATAATCAACACGTTACACCACAATGTCACCAAACTGGTATACTCCGCCAAAAATAAAAACAGCAAGTGAGAAATAAAAGGAAAAAGAAAGAGAAAGAGAAAGTGTAAATCGGATAAAATGGGTAGGGAGACAGGAAAGAGCGACTGGAGAAAGGAAGAATCAGAAAGCGAGAAAAAGAAAAATCGTGGGACGTACCTCCTGCTGACGAATGCCCGCAAAGATGAGGTCGAGGCCTTTCTGAATCTCCTCACTGACTGGCGGTGGCGTGGGAATGTGATCTCCGGTCGCGTGAAAGCCAGTCTCGTCGGCCGTATAATGGATGGTGATCAGCTTCCCCTCTGGACTCGTGTATGAGAAGCTTCCTTCTTGGACCAACGCTTCTCCTTGTTCCTCGCCTTCGCCTACTTTCTTGATGTAACCACTCTCCTCGGCGATAATATTGTTTCCCGTTTCATAACTACGAATAATTTATTCACACCAGATTTCAAGACATTCTTTTCGGCGTCATCTTAAAATGCACGTATATATATATATGTACGTTATATTATCGCTTCTTTTTCACTAACGGAGCTTTCACTTACGAAAATATTTCTTAATTTCTGTTGTATCACCGCGATAAAATGCCATTAAGTGTGACGAAACGTTATTATACAATAGCTTATATACATACTCACGTATGTATATATGTAAACATCATACACTATCTTTGTATATATTTATATTATATGTAATATATCTTTTTATTAAAGAGGATGTTGTAAAATAATCAAGTCTTAATTCATAGAAATTATATAAACGTTGTTATATCTTTTATCTTGAATTCAATTTAATCACAAAATCGTATTATAATGACGATTATAAATAATTTTAAGTTTCTTGTTGTAAACTTGCATATATAGTTAGAGAATAAATTAATTTTATAGTTTATCAAAGATATGAAATTGTAAAATTTAATATTTTTCGGAGTAAAAATATATAGAATAAATAAATTCTATTTATAATGAAAAAATAAAAATAAAAGTAAAAAGAGTAAAATAAAAAATAAAAATGAATATCTATTAAAATTAAAAATGTTTAAAATGTTTAAATTTGTATAATGGAATTAGTGTCAATATATAACTTGCATATCATTGTGTTTATCTATTACTTTCTACCATTACGTAATGTTCTATAATTATATAAACATATTAGCTAATAAAAATAAAGTAGCAATACGTGTAATATTTGTTTATTATTTATAGTAATTTTACATATATAGCAAACTAGTTAACAGGATCAAAACAGTTAAATCAAAAAATGAAAATCTTGCTCGACATAATTTTAAACATTATTAAAAATTTCATTCAGTCTAAAAAATATTTTTATTCTTTACAACTATCTTTTATCTTACATCGGTACGTAAGACCAAAGTTCCATGTATTAAACGAAGAATAACGGTTGGTAAAGGTAAAGTCAATGAATAACGAATAAGTACCTTGTCTTGTAAGTCCCATCGTGCTCTTGCTGTTTATTCCAATGTAAGATTGGAATAGGTGTCGTTGTCAAAGGTCTCCTTTCATCTGCAGGAGCACTTTGTCTCTCCTCGTTGTAATTGTTACGAGCATGGTAATTCGAATCTTGTGCTGCTGCTAATCCCAAAAGTACTGTTATGACCTAGCACGAAAAATTTTTTTTTTTAAATTATTCGGCGTAACGAGCATTCTTACGTTTAACCTTCTGTAGGTAATCTAGGTTACTGACAAACCGAGCGAAATTTGACCTTTATATATTTTTTCGAACATTTATCTTTTACCATTTATCTATATCAATAAAGTTTTTAATATTTGATTTGTCTATCGTATAAAGTAGTAAGTGCACTGATAATAAATAAAGTAATTTAGTTCTTCCTTTCAATTTTTTGGAAGACTAGTAGATCAGTGAAAACGTTAGGCTCGAGTACAAATGACCTGGTTTGCCTGTGAAGCGTGAAAAAGTACGTTTGCCTACCGAAGGTTAACGTATAATTATAGTATTGTCTGCTGGAAGATGAGGCTTTAACAAAAATGGAGATCTGTGACCGGTACCATCGACATAGTGTTGGTAAGATGAGTGAAAGTAAGATGCCAATGCGGGTCATTTAACTCCTGACCTACGACGAGTTTGCGAACTCGTCGTTGATTCAGTTTGCTTCGTGTTCTTTACGGCTGTTCGTGTCGTAACAGTTTAAGGAGCATCCTCTTTTTTGAATTTGAATTCGAATTTAAATGAGTCATATTTTAGCTAACCATCGTCAAATGATACTTTTCGAATACACGACATAATTTGTATTAAATAATTTTTTCTTTCTTAAATAATTATCCTGATAAATAACTAATCTGAAAATGTATTGTACTTATTTACTAATCTCAGTGATTCAATTAATCACGTTATATTTATTGCAAATAAAATATAGAAATAATTATTTAATTTAAGAATATGTATTATTATGATTTTGGTAATTATAATATATATTGAATCTTGATCTATATAGCGAATTAAAATAACTTAAGGTTCTTTCTCTATTGATTTTTAAAAATAGCATGTTTTACAATTTCTGAAATTGAAAATTTTAAGATAAATTTCATAAAAATACCGTATAATATTGCAAATGGATTCTATAAATTTTATAGAAATGCACATATACACATATGATGGGAATTATGAAAATCTATCTAATTAACTGATAACTAAGAAAACTAATGGTAACTGGATAAGCTAGATATATGATTATAGGTATGGTAATTAAATTAATATTAAGCTTTCTATAACGAAGATAAATTGAGAAAGTAAATGATAAATTTATATTTGTTAATTTAAATTAAAGGATAAGAAATAAATATTATTACTAATAATAAATTTTAGTTGGTTATAACAAGAGAAACAGGAACGATAAAAAAAAATTATCAACTTCATCTATCATTGGTCCTAAAGACACGTCCCCAATACATAACTCTACATATTTTGAAAATTCTTTGCTATACTTACGTTTGACCAAAATTTACCGTCTTATTGCAACACTTCTTTAAAAAATAAGCACTATTAAAATAACATATTTTATCTATACTATATTTGTTTAATCTCAAAATGAACAATCTTTCTGTAAAAAATTTGTCTATATTTGTTAACTTTTTAACTTCCATCGTCACTAACTATACAGAACGAACAATATACTTTTCTGGATATAAGTAATAGTTTATGTAACAAATAGAACTACATAAACGAATAGAAACGTAAAAATTACTTACAATTGTTTTCAACATATCGATGATAAAGGAAACACTTTTAAATGAAGAAGAAGATGAGTACTATTGAATCGAATCGTTTATGATCCTAAGGAAATAAGGAATTCACCTTTTATACTCTCACTTCATCCCCACTCAACAAGTGATGGATCTCTAAAGATGTTCCACGTAGTTTGTACCAACGATCTTTACATATATGCTGTCTTATACACGTACAACGATGCATTCTATACCATTTTGTGCGCCCCTTTAACCACTCCTTACTCGTCCCTTGTTACAAGAAAAATCAGTACCATTGAAGCATTAATTAATTGAAAAGTTGATCATTTACGTCGACGAAAATTATTTCTGTAATCAAAGTTGTTTATATAAAATTTGTTAGTTATTGTCTCCATTGTTTCATGTCATGTCAAAATAATCAAAAGATAATAGGACTTGTAAACAAAACTATGTTATAGTGGCTGATATAATGATATAATTATTTTAATATAGAATAGTAAAAATAATATTATGTATTAATTATAAATTGTTATATTATTAATACAGATTATATATATGAATATTATAAATATTATAAACACTATGACACTGTATAGTTTTGGATATTGTGATGTTAACACTTGTTCTTAAAGTTTAATGAAGTTTCATTAATTTCTTAATTAAATTTGATACAATTCGATTTTAGTCATTTTTAATTTAATATTTGATAGAATTAATAGTGAAAAATTAACGATATTTGTAAGAATTAATGCTATTGATGTATAAGAAAACAAAATTAAAATTTGAATAATTATTTTAGTACAAAATATTAATTAAATTATCATTTGATATAGAATATTATTCATTTCTTGATACTGAAATGTTGACTCATTTTTCACAATATAATAAAATTCTCCATTATATTATACCAATAATGAAAAGTTAATAATTCTTATAGATTAAAAATATATTTTTATTATATTAAATTTTATTTTTTATATTAATTTATAATATTCAAAATTGTATACAAATAAGAAATAATTAAAATTAGAATAATTATTTTGATACGAACTGTTATTAATTTTATAGTATTATGTAGTTCTTAATATTTAATATTAATATAAATTATATATTATAGTAATATAAATATTATACAATTATATATTTATATATATTGCATCGTTGATACTCGTTTTTAAAGTTTGAAATCTAAAACTAAAAGTCTGAAAATCTGAATCTAAAATCTAAATCTAACATCTGAATCTAAAATCATTTTAAATATTAATCTGCTGCATTATTAAATACGTATATATAATACACAAGTTAGTATTAGCTCTTTGATGACTTTTGTATAATATAATTATAATATGGTTATAAATCTAAAATCTGAATCTAAAATCCTCTCAAATAATAATTGCAATATTCTGAATTTTTATTTGAATTGTTAAATTCATACATGTATATGTAATGAACGACTAATTATTAGATATTTGGTAACTCTGGGATAATGTGATTGTAAATCTGAAATCTGAATCTAAGATCCCTTTAAATATTAATTGGCAACATTCCTCTGACTTATTAAATTCATATCTATATATAACGAACAATCTATTATTAGCTCTTTGGTAACTTCGTGTGATATTTGTGATCTTGCGATCAATAGGTGAAAAGTTTCTAATTTTTGTGGAAAAATTCAGAGAAATGGTTTTGTGATAACGTAACAATTACGCACGAAGCAGTTACCAATATTTAAATTCCAATTCATTGCGTCATGTGTGAAGTCACGATTATCTAAACCATTCTTGAAACACGAAGATATAAATCAATAGAAATGCAATTGTTTGCTAGGCAAAATTAATTACGCAATAAACTAAATAAGGATTATACAATTAATTAAATATTTTAAACAAAATGAATGATTTTAACAAATTTAATTAACTTGATATAAAATTTAAAAATTATGTATCATATTTATAATATTTATAAATAATGGAAGTTTGAAAGATCATGTTTATCATTAATTATTCCGTACCTTAACATTGTTATAATGATTATCTTAACATTTTATAATGTCAAGGTGCTAGGATTACCAACCTGAAGTTATTAATGTTAGTAATATTAAGGCACTAGGATTATCATCTTCAAATGTATAAGTAAACAGTAATATAACAACATATATAATAGCATCTATGTACATGATATTTACGCAAACATAGTATGATATTGCCATTAAATACGTATACAAAATATAGCTGTAAACATAGATTATGATAATTAAAGTAATATAATGAATATCAACGTGTATATATAATTATGTTTTATCTGAGACTAATTTTCAATCCCAATAACCTGCTAAATTAATTTTACCGAAAACACCAAAAGCAATTTTTACTAAATTCTAAAATCGAAAAGTCGTTTCAACTAGTTTAATAGTATGAATAAAATATTATCAATATCATTTTAATTATGTTAGCCTAATATTGTCCTGTACTTAATATCTATAACTTTTTATAATGAACAAGACTAATAAATCTAGTAAAAGCATATACATTGTATTATAATACTACTTATCGTTAATCTTCAAATTTTATGCTAATGATGGTGAAAAAATATAATGAGAACAAAGAAAAAAAAAAATAGAAAACGAAGATTCAAAGTATTCGAAATTGTAGTATATCAAAAAACTTGGTATGATAATTTAATGCAAGTACTAAGATGAAAAGATGGTATTAAGACATTTGAAAAAAATTGACAATGTGAAGAAACTTTAAAAGTAAATTTCTCAGAACTGAAGAGATATAAAAAGATCAATGATACGAAACATGCAGTTCACTGCTTCAGAGTCGCTCTAGGGAACTATTTTTCAATCATTTTGTAATTCTTGATGATAAATGGATTCTTCATGATAATCGACGAATGATTGGATATTAATGAACCACACATATCTTTTTTAAAACCGGACTTACACCAAAAGAAAGTGGTGCTGACGGTTTGGTGATCCATAACTGATGTCATAGATTATAATTTTTTAAATTAAGGAGAATCAAACAAGATTATAAGGAGAATATTTTATCTAGAGATGAAGAAAAAATATCTAACTATAGTAATATTAAACAATAATAAATGTTGGCAATAGTAGCAGTAACATTACTACTAAGTAATAATAAACTAAAAGAGTAACAATAATAATATTAATAATAAATAATAGATAATAGTAGTGATAGTAATATTATTCACATGATTTTCAAGCGACATTAAAAAATTTAAACAAATTAAAATACAAATTTTTATATCATTCATCATGTTTGATCTAATTTTTACTCCATTAATTATCGTCTTTCTTTTATTTCCAAGTTCTTCTTTTCTTAGATACTATTTTCCTAAGTACAACATTTGTAATAATATCATACAGTGAAGCTATGTTTGTTTTTCAGTTCACTCAGAAACACATATAATAAATATTTTTCATACAGTTTGCGTTACTGTAACGCAAGTTTCACATTTTGTCGTAAATCAATTTTTCTGTGGTTTTTTTACACAATTTTTTGTACACAATAAGCATCTACTGTATAAAGAGAGACTCAATTATATATCGATTAATAAACTTACTCTGGACAGAAATAAGGAACATTTATTTTAATTGAAAAAAAAAATTTATATTTCGTATGTTATATTAATTAAAAATGGATGTTTCGTATGTTACATTAATTGAAATTAGATATTTCGTATGTTATCATCTATTTGGGTGGAAGAAATTAGAAGAGCACCTAATGGAAGCTTGAAGAGGTAATAGGAATCGAAGAAATAAATATAAATGATAAAAAACGGATACAAATTTCTCAGGTGAAAATGTAACGAAGACATACATGTATCGTAAAATAATGATCAATCTTGTTTCGTCAATTTAAGTCTTTAACGTTACTGTGAATGAAAAAAGATAAAATTCTAGCAATTGAGGATGAATTGATTCAGGGTGCTTAAAAGAGACGTTTAAAGGAAAAAGAAAGTTCAAAGGACAAAATTAAATGGTGTTATATATTTTATACTTCTGCATTAATTATTCACTTTTAATATGGTTGCAAATTATTACAGTGTTCCTTTCCTCTTATTTTCTTTCTTTCTTTTTTTAGAATTATACCATTTTTTTCTATATATCAATATTATATATATTTTCTTACTATACTACTATACTAATATTGTTAACTCTATGGTACACATAGTACACTAATACTATACTAATACTAAACTATATCTTAAGTTATTACACTTTAATAATATTAGAGTTAGTTAATTAGAAGCTAAATAGTTTCTCGAGAAAATTCAACTTTCTTTTAGTAATAAATACTTGTAAGCACTTTCTTATCTTTGATGACCTTGTTTAGGTTTCCTAACGACTACATTATGAGTACAAACAACGGTTAATTAAATTAGTAGAAGTTATTATTAAATTCACACGATTCAAACTGTATTCCGAAAGCGAAAATGAGATACCTCCAAGAAAATGATACATCAGTACATGTTTCTAATATAATTACGAATTATTTGAATGAAGAATATCATAGTTGTTAAATTGATATGCAAAAGTCAACATATTGTTCATAATTACTAATTTTAAAAGATTTTAAAATTTCTTCTTTTAATATTTTTTAACACTGGGTTTATTATTCTATACTATAGACCAAAATGTAGTACAAATCATAATAATAAAAGCAATATATATTATATTATATGAGCTAATTAATAAATTATTATATGTTGTTATGAAAGTCTAATCCAAGAAAAAGACTTATAGTAATTAACTTATAGTAATTAAAAATAGTTAAATTGTATGAAAAATATAATATTATACATTATATTATACAATATAATATACATAGTATTATATTGATTGAAGACTTTTATATTTAAAACTATACTGTATAAATAGATAAATAAATTATTATTATTAAAGCAATATGGTAGAAATAAATATATATGTATTTAATGTTTTGTATTGATATAGAAAATAATTTTTTGCATTAAAACTGTTATTGGACTTGAATAATAAATTAAAAATTATAAAATTTCCAATATTATTATAATTTAAATATGAT